TTCACTCACCGCACTAAAGTCGATTGATCTGAATTATTCAGGGTTCTCATGGCTGGATCCATTCTGGTGCCTCTAGTTGAATGGCCCCGCTCTCAGCATACAGATGGTATCTGAGGGCATCGGAAGAGATGAAAGTGGCCAAGGATGGTTGTGTGAAGATGACCTCAGACAGAATCCTGGGGGCCCTGGCTGCACCTAGTTGCTAGATCTAGAAATAGCCAGGATGCTTGTGATCCATCCAGTCTCATCCACCCAAAAGGGAGTGTCCAGAATATCTAGCCAAGTCAAGAAGTCTGCCCCTTCTCCACTGTATTTTTTTTTTTCTCCTCTAAGCTTTATTACTGTAAGGCTTAGCGGCTCTGAGTCACCCAAAGGACTCGCTCATCTGTCAGTCTGTTTCCATCCCCAGGTTTCTGGGAATTTGATCTCCCTCTATCCACAGTTTAACAAGAAGAGCCAGGTTGACATCATTTTCCTGGGTGTAGTTGATTGCTTTAGAGATAAGCACCTGAGTGGGGCTGGCTAATTATTCCCAAGAACTTGGAAGTAAAGGCTGAGACTTCAGCTTGGCCTGATGAGATAAGGAGGGGTTCCTGTGTCCCCCGGAAGTGCTCTGGTCCCTGGTTCCAGCCTTGTCTCAGCCTGATCTTGAGGCTCAGCTATCTCTGCTGTTGAGTTCTGTGAGTAACCATAGGTTTCTTAAAATACAATTTCCTTCACAAATTTAAGCTGGCTTAAGTGGGTTTCTGTTACAGGGACTCAGAATACTCCTTCTTGATGACTCTGAGGGAACACTGTTTAAATTCCTTTTTATATGCGTAAAGACAGCCTGCCGCTAGCCATAAAATTGTTTGTTTCTTCCTGGAGAAAAAACTAGAGATGACAGACTACATATTAAACAAATAAGCACAAAGTTCTACCCTCTTTGCAAAAGATAAATGTTGCAACAAAGGAAGAACTTCACTGTTTGTAGAATTCCTACTTGAGCTCTTTGACCATAAGTCCTCTTCAGCTTTGCTTACTTAAATTTTATTGCTATTCAAGAATTAGAGGGGAAGGAGGTTGCCCTTGAACCTGCCTGCTTGTTTTTCCTGAGCCCAAGGTAGGTAGCCCTTCAGGAAGGTGGAGCGTCAGAAATCCTCAAAGGGGTGAAAAAAAATTTATCTCAGCTGTGGAGGGTTAAAACTTGCATGGACATTATTTGAATACCTCTTAGCTCTGATTTAGCTTGGGGATGGAGGGGAGAACGTTAGAAAAGCCTTCCACGTGTGTCTGTCCCTTTCTGCGTCCTGAAATTAAGCCTAGCTTATTGAGATTTTCTTGTTTTTTGGCAAAGACCTAAAGAAACTGGGGTTGGGACTCATTGTGGGG